ATTATGAAGATTTTTTTTCCTTCTAAATTAGTTTTTCTTGTATTTTGCAAGTGCATGGAAAATAGCGGAACTAATAATATATTTTGCTGAATTGACCCTGCTGTCTAGCTGATAATTTAAAGAAGTGTAACAGAAACTCACAGTCTATAATCTTGCTTTCTATATTTCTGTAATGCAAACAGCAGGTCTTACGTAAGATGTTTCGAGACAAAAGCTTACAAATTGAGTAAAGTTTCCGAAGTGGAGAAGCAACAAAGATGCATGTGCCTGGTATATATTCAATAACTTACATTTGCATACATAGACTGGGTTTTGACATGTCTAACTATCTGCTTAGGCTAAATTCAATGGTCCTTCTAACTCTGCTAAAAACTGTGTGCAGTATATATATAAACAAAGAAAACATCTGCATCCAGATGTATTTTGAATGGACATGTGCCCATGTCCCAGATGCCTGCGGAGTGTTCAGGATTGAGAGTATGGTCGGGGGTAGAAAGGTAAGAAAGGTTTATCGACTTAACAAAAACACAACTACACGTCGTAACAAGACAAACAATGACAGACAAAAACAATTCGCGTCGGCAACTTATCGGCAGTCCCCTCTGATGCCTGATGCACAGCAAGTTTCTCCTTGCTATCTCCTCTATCTTCCTTCAGAATGGTTTCCAGATATTCCAGCTAATTTATAGCTTCTGAATGGTTCCGATAACGTACAAGCACTCAGATTCTTTTTACTTCAACTGTCCTTAGACTGACCAATAGCATTACAAGCCTTGCATTCCTTTGATAAGGTAATTTTAACTATGTCACAGGGCCTTACTACTTCAAGGCTTTGCTAAATTTACTAAGTCTTATTTTATACAAGGCCTTACTACATCTTAAACTTTAATTAGATTTTAGCAACAACATATAGCTTAATATCTAAACAAATGCAGAAAAACACTTGGTCTAATCTTCATAGAGCCTTCAGCAAGCACCTTTATCACACAGGCATACTTTTCAGCTGTCACATGCCCATTGTGTTAATTTTTGCCTACAAATTGATATGCCCAGAGCTGTGGGCGTGCAATTTAGACTAAATGCTGGGATCTAACTCCCTTCTGATTCTAACCCAATCCTATGATGGCTGGTGACCAAAGCAAATGATGGTTCGTGAGCCAGCCTTAAGATGTACCCATTCCATGTGAAGTCATCTCTATGATTTCTGTTCATGCAAATGAAATCAACCCAAGTGAAAAAAGTTGGAGCTCTCTCTATTCCCCCAATAAAATTTTAAATCTTGCCACTGCTGCTCTCTTCCTCCTGAAGATGCAGAGGAAGCCCATCTCTTATCCACTGCTTCCTTGAAATTGCAGTCTGGCTAGCTCCTTTATTAATTTGCTTTTGGGCTCTGGCCCTGCTCCTGAGATGAGGAAGAAGCTCTGCATTGGGATTCATATTCTGTGCTACCTGGGACAATGCTTTAATGCTAATGACAGTGAATATTATTATACTGGCACAGCAGTTACAAACAAAAGAGTGTATGCAGAGATATGACCTGTCAGTCTGATTTTTTTTTTTTTTTTACTACTAAATTCAAATTATAAATTAATCACTCATCTTATGCTTAGTTCTACCACCTTCACCTGGAAGCCAGTTAAAGCAGATGTATTAAGATCTATATTGAGGAGGAAGGAACGGAAATATCACAGTCTCTACCCTTAACTGGTATTAGTTAGGCTTATTCTGCTGTTTATAGTATCCTCTGTAACAGTACTGTTTTCTATCGTAATCCAGATATGCATCACAGTTAACATTATACTTTTCACAGATTATATAATAAACAACAAGGTTGATGAATAGCAAACTGGCTGATACAGTTCCTGCTACTGCATCACTCACTCCTTTTCTAGTTAATTCCAAATAAGTCCTTGGGAAATGGATTTAGGATGTTTGGTGGCACATTAACCTGCATGATTTGACCCTGGGGCTTAGCACCACAATTTCTCTGTGAGATTATCTCATCTTCCTTTGCCGTCCCCTTAAGGTCTGTCCTCACCCAGTCTTCCTTCTATCCAATAATTAAACTGTCACTGTTAAGAAACAAGTTATTCAGGACAGTAGATTCTATGGTGGGGCTGGTGGTGAGAACCTGATGAAATGCCTTGTAATAAAAATGGGTAGAAGAGGAATTGCTTGATTCATTGTGCAGGCCTTCAACCTAGGCAGACACCAGGCTAGGTCAGGAGCCAGCAAAGCAGTCCAGAGCAGAGGGGTTAACAGGCAGGAACCAGGAATAAGGATAGAACTAGGACCTCAGGAAGCAGGACCCAGGGATCAAGAAATAGGAACAGAAAGCAGGGACTAGGACACAACAACCAGTCAGGGGCTTACCAGAATCCAGGTAGCCAGGGTCAGTGCCAAGATTGTAGACAGGGCAGCAGCTGATCAAGACCAGAAAGTCAAAGACAGGAGCAAGACTGGAGAGTCCACAACATCCATTTGACTTCTTGGGACAAGGTCCAAGAGAAAATGGGAGGGGTTTACAGCTCTCTCATCAAGGACTTATGGCTCCCATTGGTATTTGATTTGCGGCTTGGAGGTGCTGCAGCCTAGGCCTCTGCCTTTTAGGATGTAAATATATTTTTAAAATATTTGTTTAACCTCCTCTAATTATATTGGTTAAACGATCCACCGATAACACAGTAGCTACTCAGGCTCCTGGATGAACTTTGACTGGGGGAACTGGGAGAGAGAAGCCCAGCCAAACAACACATTCCAGTGAAGCCCTGCATTGGGAGGGAGGGAGCAGCACCTGTGAACAAGCACCTAATTGCTTAACTGATGAGTTATTAAGCTGTAGCTTTTTCCTCTTAGGCTAGTCCCCCTTGCCCCTCCCTCTCCCCATCCCTCTCTCTCCTGATTCTTGCTGGAGCACTCCCTTCCCCGCTTTTCTACCAGACTGTGCCCACCAGGAGCTAAAGGATAATTGGTAAACTAACCAGTTATCACTCACTTATGGGTTAAATGATTAATGAATAATCATTAATGAATAATCATTTAACCACCATTAATGATTAATCATTTAACCTTTCACATCCCTACTGCTTGTAGGCATGGAAGATCCTGGTTCATCTCCTGGGCATCCTGACAGTTGTTGCCATCCTTTGCCTTGCAATACTGGGTTTGTAGAAGCTTGATGTGCTCCCTAGACCAGTGGTTTTCAATCTCTTTTGATTTGTGGGCCCCTAAATATTTTTGAATGGAGGTGTAGACCCCTTTGAATTGTAAGTGTAGATATTCACTTACTTTTGATTGATCATGGTCTTCTTTTGCGGACCCATTAGACCTAGGGCACAGCTCCCTGTTGAAACTCATAGTGCTTTGCAGGAAGCGCTAGGAGTTGCAACGATCCCCAAGATCAAACAGAATTTTGCTGTTGGGTTTGAGAGTTGGAAGTTCCAGCTGTTTGCTGAGAGCCTGCAGCCCAGTCTCTGCAGCAATGCCACTCTTGGGGTTCCCTAGCCAGTGCTGGAGCATGGGACAGGTGGATTGGAGCCCCCACACTAATGTTACATAAACATAGTTATATTTAACTGCCTCAAGTAAATCTTTTAACATTTACTCTTTATGTTTAAAAGTCCCAGTGTGCTTGCATAAAATAATCACCTACTGTATGTTTGAATTTTAATGAGTTTTTGAGTCAATATATTACATGTGTGTGACAAATGAAATAATGTTATATAGAGCACACTTTGATCAAATGATATTATCATTTATTTGGTATTGGGGAGAGAGACCTAGATCACTCATCTTCCACTGACTAACTTGTTATATATTAATTTTGGGTGGCCCCTGGAGATGTTAACCCCTGGATTGTCCATATGTTAACATAGGGGTGGGCAAAATGGCCAATCCGGCTGGCATCCAGACTCCATTTCCTAGCAGCCCCTGCCCTCATAGCTTGGGCCGGTCTCCGTGGAGACCCCAGCCACACCTAGACAGGAAAGCTCAGGCTGGGGTTGCCATGAAGCCCAGCCTCAGCACACAGCAGAGCAGCATAGGGAGCTGCTCTGGAGCCGCTGGAACTTGGGATGAGGGCAGCTTGCTCCGGAGCCAGGGCAGAGCCGCAACCTGCACCCTGCATGCTCCAGGCAGGGGCGCACAAGCAGGAGATCATGGCTCTGCCCGGGCTCCAGCTGGGAAATGGAGTCCACAGCCACCCGGATCCAACCCACGGGTCGAACTTTGCTTGTTCCTGCGTTAACACCTTTAAGTGGTTTAAAGCATTTGTTATACAGCTCAAAGTTATGCCGCTCCAGGGCAGGATTATCTCTTGAGCCTCATAACCCAGCTCCTCTTCCATTTCGGTGTGGCCACTCCCCACAAATGTGCTGCTCAAATTGAAGGTGTGATTGCAAGCTAGCACTAAGCCTATTAACATTTGTACAGCTCACAGTGTAACGTGTAACAATGCCCTCTGTCAGTTAACAGAGGAAAGTGTTTAATCGACAGCACTATCAAGAGAATAGATGGAACTGAATATGAGTTGTTATTCAACCTCTTAAACCATGTTTACAATAAAAAACACATTACCAGTGTAGCTATACCACTATATTATACTACCAGTGTGCTCTTGACATGGATGCAGCTTAAATAATGGCCTTTTAGTGGTGTAGCTTATTCAGGTACTTCCACATGGAGCGGGATCATGACCCTGAATAACATTGTTCCAGCAGCAAAAGTCTATGGGGTAGATCTGGCCTTACTTGGAAAGAGAAGGTCAAAATATATAACCACCAGTTATATAAATACCTTTGTCATTTGGTGTGATGGTGGCAAGGGGGGGTTGGCTTGTTTTTGTTTTATTTTTGTTATTTTTATTCTGTTTCTAAACTGAAGAACATTTGAAAATAAAGGCTATCTTAGAAAGAATCCAATTCCAGTTGCAGGCATTTGATTTGTGGGATTCTGTTAATCTGACTAATTCACTTTTTTTTTGCATTTGTTTTATTTTGAAAAGCTTTTTTGTTAAGCTCTGCTGATGCCATAAATGGAACAGTTAACTGGAAGACTAAGCAAGCCAACAGTTTTCTTATCAGCAGAATAAAGGCTGTTGAGAAGAATGGTGAGTTTAGGTTGTAAATATAAATCCCATTGTGGGTTCAGTCAACATGTGCTTTCAATATTACTTTTGCTTTTTCAGTCATATGCTTATTTTATTATTAAGTTGATACCTTGAGGTAAGTAATTCTGAAAAAAGTCCAATAGTTTTCTAATCCTCTAAACCTTTGGATTTCTGTGTGTCAGTTTCCCACATTTTTTCCTTTTGCGGCTTATGGCTTTGCTTAAAATAATGGCTGTATGTATAACTCACTATTGCATATTTTCCTGTCACTGCTGGTTGCTTGAAAATATCTTTGCAGTGTGCTTAATGCAATAACTTATAACTCTTAAAATATTTTAAATATTAAAATATGTTTCCATGTTTCTAGATAGAAAAAATAAATGCTTTTGCATTCACATGAATACTACTATAGTTGAATTTTACTGCAATCAGTAGACATCTGAGACAATGTTAAGTGGCTTAGAAAGCATTTGGTTTTGTTTGCAGCGCTAGTCGTTGCCAGGATCCATATATATTGCTAGGAAAGGTGGAGTTTCCCCCTCTCACATCCAGCAAGCTGCAGGTCTGCCACCAGCCTGGTGGAACCTCTGAAGTCTGTGGGAGATGAGAATCATACACATTTTTCCTTTCTATCAGCTCTTGTCTCTGACAGTTTACAACCTGGCCTCTCTGATAGAGAAACTCACATTACCTGACTGTCCCCAGGATCTGTTAGGTTGGGATTGAATTATTTTGCCTGGAGTTAGTGGTAAATGTTTTTTTTATCCCTCCTACCTCTGTCGCCAGCCTGTTTACTTCTTTCCCAAGTATGCATGATTTCCAGCTCTTTCAGGCATTAGATCCTAGAATCCACAGAAAAGCTTTCATGGTGTTTTTCAAGCAAGGAGTGTAGTGGGAAAACTAATTTATGCTAAGGCTGTTGGCCATAGTCTAGGCCTTTCCAGAACTAAGCAATAAATTGTACAGTGCCTTATAAGGCAGTGGGAAAAAGTGAGCGCAGTGACTGGTATGGTGGGTGAACCAGGTATATCAGTTTCCCTAAAAGGCAACAAAACCAAAAACTGAATAGGATTGGAATACCTTATCTAAAAAGATGAGATAAGGAACTTGAGGACTGGACAATTTGAGATGAGACAGTCACAAAAGTAATGGACAAACAAAGACATGCTGTGTGTTTGTGCTGTTACTCTTGGGAGTCGGGGGGCAGTCATGGAATTTCTGCTTGAACTGCAGGAAAACCAGAAACATCTCACACACCAACGGAGGATGCGAGGCTGGTACCACCAAAGGTCACTCCTATAACGTCTAAAAAAAGCCACGTGTTTGCATATTGCAGGGAAGATACTTGTAATAGTGCTTAGGGGTTACTATTGAAGTTCACTTGATACTGAATCAGACGAAGAGCCGTATCAATCCTTGGGGGTCTCTGGCAAAAAAGAATCCTACTGCAACAAGGCGTAAGAGAAACAATTCAGTGAATGTAAGTAATTTTTTTGTGTGCTAGAGTACTTATTCTGTGCCATGTGACCATTAATAAAGGAATTTAAATACTCTTTTGTAGAAGGTAGAGATTTTATTCCATTTTCCATAAAATGGTGTCACAGACACCATTGATAATATTTGGCAATCTGGTTTATGGGAATAACATTTAGGAGTCAATGAGCATGTTCAATTTTGTACCTCAACATTGTAGGTCACTTGCATGCTCCTTTATAGACTCACTCAGAGATTATTGAGGAGACAGAATTGGGGTTAGGAAGAAAAGTTTTCCCCAGGTTGGATTAGCAAGGATTGGATTTTTTTGCCGTTCGCTGTAAAATAAGGCATGGACTTCTTCCTGTGAACTTCTGAGCGTATATTAATCAACTCCTTCTCCATCATTGCTGTAGCAGGGCATTGTCAATACCACAGTTTCCCCTACTTTTTGCTTGTGGCACATTTATAGGTTGTTTTTGGTTTGTAATGTATTTTGGGGTTGTAGTGGGTAAGAAGCTAAAGTGGACAAGTATCAGGACCCTTGAGAAGCAGCCCCTTGGCTGGAGACTACTCCTTTGGGAGATTTTGTAGCACTCTAGCCAGGGGGTTGTCACTTTGTAGTACTGCAAATGAACATGCATCCCTAACATGTCTACATGGAGGCTAAAACTCTACCCTTCAGTGCCACACCTAGGCTAAGAAACTAAAATTGTTTTGGATACTGCTGTTTATCACTACTGAAACCAGGGCTTTCATTTAATACAGAACGATTAATGCTTGCTTAAATAAGTTAATTAATCAGAATATGAGAGTTAACATTTTAACCTGCCCCCCATTTTCCCACTGTAGACAAATATTATCTTTACTTTAGTCATAGGCTAAATTCTAAAGCTGTTCTTGGCATGTACAATTTGTTCTTACCAAGTTTAATCAGATTAGTTTTAACTGATTCATTTGAAAATTATTTTGAACTTCCTTCTACTTCCACTAGTCTCCCAGGAAAAACCACAAGTGTACAGATGTTCTGGATTGTTGTCCCAGAGCAAAAGTGCCTGCTCTGGGAGAAAAACAACCTGGGAACAACCAGAGTTAAATCACTCCTGGGAGAGTTTCTTCTCGGATAGTGAATGTCTGTTTCCTTCTAAGACAAGCCACAGCACAGTCCTCCAGCATCGCAGTGTGCTTTGCTCCTGCTCCCCACAAAGCCCCAGGGAGACATTATGTTGCTTGGGACTCTACTGATGCAGCTGAGCAGGATGTAAACACCCCCCCTTCCCAATTCCTAAATTGTTCTGCAGGGACACATACTCACCCTGAGCAGTCTCTGTCAGCCAGTCAGGACTGCCCAATGCATTACTGCCATCTGTCTCCAGACAGACATAGGATGTATGGAGAGCACACTGTGCATGTGTGCGCACCAGGGGCCTCCTGGCTGCACAAGTATCAGCACTACAGGCTCTCTGCTCTTCAGGGGCTCAGCATTCGAATATTGGTTCAGAGTCTAAGTTATTTTTTTTACCAGGAAAATAAGCCTGAGAGAATTCTCCCATATCATTTGAACATGTGTACATAGTGGGTTGCTTACCTCAACAACAGGATATGCCCCATTACCAGGAATACCTTAGGCTGTATATTTGGCAGTACCCAGCGGACCTGTGTAAGACATAATACATACGTAGGTTAGAGAAATAATTTTTCTGCAGAAATTGCCCACTGTAGTCTCTTTATTACTAATCTTCTATAGCTATTCTTGTAGAGAAAATAGAGCCTAGCTTTTCATTGTTTCTCCTGTTTGAAAATGATTTTTAGTTAAGTGCCCTGAAAATAATTATTTTTCTCTTTTGATATCTGATACACCTTCATATATAGTCATCATGTATTTCTTACCTTTTGGATTCTGTGAATTTCATTTTTAAATTATGTTTTCAGCTCTTTTGCTAGAATTCTATATGAATTTATATTTGGTTCCTTGAGAATTATACAGTTCATACACAAAAGGGAGTGAAAGACTATTGGATTACTAAGGCAAGATGGTGGGTATACTTAGCAATTTTGACTATATACAGCAAGTAATTCTAGGTTAGTTTAGTGAAATGAAAACTAAAATATATTAATAATTATTAGTTTACTAACACAGATAAGGCTATTCATAAAATATATTTACATTTTAAGACCATTTACATTTATTTTTATTCCTACTGATAAATTATTGTAGGGTCTAGTTGTTTAGTACAGTATAAAAAAATAACATTCACAATGGGAAAAAGCAGTAATTATAACCACATTAACATATAAATAAGGAAAAGGATCATGAGTATTATTGATTTTGATAGTTTTTTTACTGTCAATAGGTGGGTAGTAGATATTTAGTAAGATACATGGTAAGGTATTCATCTTGAATGTCTCTCTTAGTAGACTACTCTTTTCACTGAGCTAGTGATATTTAATGGAAATTTTCTTGCACTGAAATCTGCTCAATAATATATGTGGGGCTTAAAAATATTAATCCTGGAAAGCCTGATTCAAAATATCCTGTGCAAAGAATGGAATAGTGATTATAGCACTGTGTTGTGAGCACAAATCAGGTGACAAGTCTGGCATAGTGAAAGACTAAAAAAGAAATCTTGCCAGATTGGATGGCATCAGCAACGTGGGCTTGATCTTAATAGTATGTTAAGGCGGAGCACTGTTCTGTGGAGCTCAGCATGGTGAGTCCATCAGTGAAGATACGTGTTGTATCTGATATTACACGCACACACACAGCTGCTATGTAGCAGAGGTAGCTGTCATACATCCAATTCCACAGTGGGCAGAAGGACCATAATAATGGATGGAGTTGGGATATTGGGCCACACTTCGTGCAGATTTGTGAAATGGGGGCCAGTGGGTAGTCCATTAAAGATACTAACTACGTATGTAGGGAACATATATAAAAAAGAAGCGGTAGCTGCACCAAAATCTTCGGTGTTCTAAACCAGTGTTCCCAAATTTCTGATGCCTGGGGCACACTTTTCTCCTGGATTAAAATTGGCGGCACACTTCACTCTTACACCTGAACAGGTATACAGATGTATATTTTTCAAAACATATAACATATTCTAATACCTTGCCAGAAGAAATAATACCAGTGCTGAGATGTATTGTCAAAAAATGACACCAAATATATCTTGCTTTAAGCAAAGGATTAGTTTCTATACCAGTGGTTCTCAACCTTTTAAGCCTAAGGCACCCCTCCGTAACTTTCTGAATTTCATTTTTCAGTTGAAAATCATGGAGATAGATCTAAATTCAGAAAAGATAAGGAAGGGGGGCCTCAAGGCTAAAAAGCTGAGAATCACTGAATTGGCTGGTGCTATTTAGGGGTGGGGTGGGGGGAGGGCAGGACCTCACCCTGCTGTGCTGTGTTCTTTCCACTGTCTGCCCCATTCTGATGCCTGGTCTGTACCACAGGGACAAGAGTGCTGAGGCTGTTCCTGCAAGGTCTTACACACTAGCAACCACCCCTGTGGTCCCTCCTGTTGACCTGGGAGGTGTGGAAGGAACAAGCTGGGCTGCAGGGTGGAACTTTGTTTATGTGTCTGCCCAGCCACACTCTCGCACCAGAGTGTGCTGCTGAGAGCATGGTTGGGGCAGGGCGGGGGAAACTGGCATAGCTTCTACCTGGCTAGGAGAGGGTGGGGAAAGGCAGCAGCAGTCCTCAGGAGCAGTTATAGGTGCCAATGAAGTAGCTGGGGCTGGTGCAGGATGGGGCAGGGAAGCATTTACCTCATACAGGGAGATCGTGGCACATCCTTTGGGAATCACTAGCCTAAACATCACTTTCCCTTCCAGAGAAAGATCATCTCTAAAGGTTGTCCAGCTCTACTGTCCCTACCTCAGCCAGATGGCTTGTTTTATTTGTATCGGTTTGGTCTTCAAATAGTAAATTTACTTTAGAAAACTATAGAAAGGATATTATAATCAATATGACACATTGTAGATCATGCATTTATAATAAGAATAAATACAAAGTTCAGATGATGCTAAGAAACAGATTTGTAAAATGGAGGATAGTAGTGTTGGAGCGATGTTGTCACCATGATGATTCAGGAAACATGAGAAGGAGTTTTGTGGGTGACAGCTTTTATTGGATCAGTTGCATAGCTTGGATCGATTTAGATGAGCTTTTAAATACAGTGCATTATTCTCCAGTCTGAGGAGAAAGCAGACATAGCAAGGCCTAAAAGTCTGTAGGGTTATGAAATTGGAGAAGAAAAAAATTCTGAGGGGTAACTGGCAGACAAAATAAGATAGCTTAATTAGTGGAAGCTCAAGACCTTTTATAAGGGAACACCCATGGTGTTATCACCCATGGTATGAAGAAAGATTAGCAGGATTCTGGTAGATTATAGTGATCTGTGAAGTCCATGTCTTTGTTCAGTCCTTGGTTTTTAGGGTACAGCCAGTTTAGGAATTTTAGTTTCTAGGCTGACCTTTTGAAGGGGTTTTGTAAATTTCCCTTGAGCCTGAGGATAGTGAAGTCAGAAAATGAATGGTTGTTTTGTAAAAAGTCTCCTCCTATATGTGTTTCTGTCCTCAATCTTTTTTCCTGTGATCATTAATTACCATGTGTAGTTTTAGTTTTGTTTCACCCACATAGTTTGCATGAGAGCATTTGGTACACTGGATGACCTATATAACATTTTGGCATAGATGTGCGGAATCCATGGAATCTGGTGGGGTTGTTGTAAGAAGTGTTGTTTGTTGTAGCAGTGGAGAGCTATTGACATGATTTGCAGCTAATGTTACAGAAAAGCCACAACCTCTCTGAAGTTTTCTCATCACTGTGTGGAATTTGCTTTTCATGATGAGTTGTGCAAGGTTAGGGGGTTGTTTGAAAGCCAAGAGTAGGGGAGGAAGAGTGGAAATATTTCTCTCAAGGTCTCAGTTTTTCCAAATATATGCTATAATTGCTTGATGAGTCATTTTATCACTTCAAATGTGGGGTGACCGTAGGTGACCACCGAGGGCATGCAGTGATGGGGTTTTTTTTTGTATTGTAGCAGGTACCATGCAGTAGCATGGCATTTGGGTGGCTGTTAGAAAGATATGGTCTATTTCTCTGTTGAAATGTCCTTGTTATATAAAGACAGATTTAAGGCTGGCAAAGTGGGTATTATGAGTATTCTCTTTGGAGCAGATGCAGTGGTACCTGAGGCCTGGCAGTAGGTTACAGGGTTGGGGTTTTTTTGGTGTATTTGGAATGATTGTTGGTTTGGGACACAAGTCTATGGTGGTCTGTGGGTTTTTTGTATACAGGTTTCCCCTACTTTATGCTGTATATGCATTCGTGGAAAGTGGCACATAACTCTAATTTGCATAAAGGGAACCCACTTTACAATGTAACCTATAGGGATACATTCCAAAACCTCAACTGTACTGACCGCAGATCCATTTCTACCACTTCTACAAGACAATTTTGGTACTCAGCAACAGCAGACAGTACACACAAGCACAGGGCACTATCATAATGGGGATGGCACTACAAAAACACAGGTTGCAGACAACGAGTGAAGAGCACAGATCCACACAGGAGACTGTATTTGGTGTGCGTCACTCCCACAATGTACTGCACAAAGGAGCTGACTGGGCTTCCACCACACCAATTGCATAAGAGTGAATTTACCTCACATATAATGAATTTTTGGTATAAAAAGGGTCATCACATAAGAGTGAATTTGCACATACAGAACCTGCATAAAGCAAGGGAAACCTGTATAGTGGTTTGTAGGGTGCCATCCCAGATGCAGATAATAGTGTCTAGAAAGTTGATGTTAAGGTAGGAACACTCCAGAGAGAATTGGATTGAAAGTTAACACGTGTTACATTTGTGTTGGAAGTCAGTTAGTGAGTCTAGGTGTTTGGTTAAGATGATGAAAATATCAGCTGTGTAACTCAGGTGGAATAGTGGTTTAGTGCAGTTTTCTAAGAATTCCTCCTGCAGATGGCTCATGAAGAGGGTGGTATATTGGTTGGGGACATCTTTGTGCACATAACTGTACCCGTAGGTTGGAGGAAGTGTCCATTGTTGAAAGTGAACTTGTAGGTAAGGAAGTAGATGATTTGTCAACATGTTGCAAATCTGAGTGTAGTCCATGTTGTTATAAGTATTTTAGGAAGGCAGCTGTGCCTTCATGGTGCAGGATGTTAGTGTATAGGTTGGTGATATCCATGGTTGTAAGTGTGGCCTTCTCAGGGAGATGGTTGATGTTCCAGATCTTGTTGAGGAAGTCTATTGCATCTTGTAGGAAACCTGCTCTTTGACTGACAAGTGGTTTCAGGATGGTTTGTATGAATCCTCATAGCTTTTCCGTGATGGTACCACAGTTGGATATGATGGCTCTGCCAGGGTCACTTTGTTTGTGAATTTTGGGAGCATAAAAAATGTTCCTGGGGTAGGAGAGTAGGGGATTAGTGGAAGTAGATTTTCCTGAAGCTGGTGTGGGAAGAATTTAATAATATTTTCCTGTTCCAGATCAAATACTGTTGTGGCATCCTCCCCAAGTTATTTATAGGTATTGTTATCAGAATTGTCTGTTAGCATCATTGATGTAGACTTGGTGGTTGAGGATGCTTATAGGTCCTCCTTTGCCTGCTGGTTTGATTACTATTTTGTTTCTAGACTTTAAGGACCTCGTGGCTTTTCTCTCTGAGGGTGATGGTTTTGGCTTTTGTCAAGAATGTCACTATTAGACATTCTTGACATTCAGCTTTCTGTCTAAAACAGTTGATGTAGTAGTCCGTTGTGCACTTCTGTCTGCTGGAAGTGTCCAGTCTGATTTTGTTGTTGTTGTTTGCCTTATTTAGGAGTGCTCAACCCCAAACCTGTGGGCCAGATTCAGCCCAAGGAGCTGTGTGATCCGGCCTGTAGGGCTCCCCAGAAGCCCGGAAATTTGGTGGAGGGGAGGGAAGGAAAGATAGGGTGGTGGTAATTAATGCTGTCACCACTTCCTCACTGCCATATTGGGAACTGTGGGCCAGAGGCTGGGGCTGGGACCAGGTGTGATCCAGCAGGCATGGGGCTGCAGCCAGGGGCCAATCCAATGTGCATGGGACTGGGGTCAGGGCCAGGGCCAGAGCTAGAGTCGAGCCTGACTCTGGCATGCATGTGGGCAGGGCCATGACCTAATCCATTGTGCAAGGGGCTGGAGTCAGGGCCAGGGCTGAAGCCCAATCCACTGCACATGGGGCTATGGCTGGGGCCAGAAATGGGGCCTGTTTTGGCTCACAGAGTGCTGCGGCCAGGGCTTCATCCAGTGCATGCGGGGCTAGGACCAGAGCCAAGTCAAGGGCCTGATCTGGTGCACATGGGGCCAGGTCTAGAACCAAGACCAAGGCCAGGGTTTGGGCCCAATCCAATGCATCCAGGGCTAGAGCCAGCACAGGGCAAGGGCCAGGACTGGGGCCTAATCGAGCATGATCAGGGGCGAGGCTAAGGCAGCAAGCCCCGTCTGACATGGGACTGGGGCTAGGGCCAGAGCTGGGCCATGGTTGCAATACAGTGTTGCAGACCAGGGCCTAATCTGGCATGCTTCAAATTGGACTCTGGTCCCATGCATGCTGGATCAGGCTTGCAGACCAACCCAGCACCAGGCACTTGGCCCATATGGCCAAAGTTGAACACCCCAGTCTTATCTGTTATGTAAGAAGGTGGTCAGAGGTGGTTCAGCTCTTGTTGCGGAAGTATTCTTTCAAAGAAATTCTGCTGAAGAATTCTTTTAATTTTGCTGTTGGATCTTAAGGACCACATAGTTTTTCTCTCTGAGGAAGAGAGGTTGAGGTGGTGTTGGCTTTTGTTGAGAATTTTACTGTTAAATGAAGGAGGGTAGTAAACTAGAAGCAGCAAATTTGAAATAGCTCTTGTTTAGGCATCCATAAACAAGGGTTTATTCATCCTTCTGGCCGCAGCATCATACTCCAAGGCCGTATTCATCTACTACTACTACCTATCATGACTCCCAATTTTTCAGAGTCTGTGCTTCTGAGGACAGAGATTTTCCAATCTGTAAATGTTATCTACAGTCTTTACTCCTGTATCAAAGATCTCACATTTGGAACAGAAATTAATATAATTAGCTTGGGGACAGCCTACCAAACAATCCAGATCACTCTGCATCAGTGACCTGTACTTTTCATTATCATCAACTCCTCAGTTTTTCTGTCATTTACAAATTTTATCAGTAAGTATTTTTATTCTTCCAGGGCACTGCTAAAAATATTAAATAGTTTAGAGTCAAGAACTGATTTCTGCAGAATCCAGTTAGAAAAACATCTCCATTCAAGCATGATTTTCCATTTAGTGACATTTTGAACCAGCTAGTTAATTCTAGTTCATTTAATACGTGCCATATTAATTTGTAGCAGTCTAGTTTCTTAATCAAAATATTTTGTAGAACCACATAAAATGCCTTATATCAAAGTAAAAGAAATCAACTCTATTACCTTTCTCAACCAAACATCAAATATTAAATAAAAAGATATCGAAAGTGTTTGATGAAAGGTATCTTCCTTAAACTTACAGTGATTGTCATGAATTATATTACACTGAATTAATTCTGTATTAATTGAATCCTGATGCAGTTAATCCATTGTTGTGCTAGGGGTAAAAGTCAGGCTTACAGGCCTATAATTACCCAGGTTGTTCCTGTTTCCTGCTTAAATTTTTGGCAAAACATGAGCTTTCTTTCCATTCTCTGGAACTTCTCCAGTGTTATTGAAAATCCACATTAATAATTTAGAGCCAAATTTTTTAAACTCAAATGCAGGTTATTTAGACCTGCTGATTTAAAAAAGCTCTGCCTTTATCAGTATTTAATACACTCGGTTACGCTTGAGAAATATTTCATCATCATCCTATATAACTACAACATATGGCTTTTAAAAAATATATAGAACAGAAATATAAATTAGAACTTTGGTGATTTTTGCTTATTATTGACAAGCCAAGTCTAATATTTCCTTTTAGGAATGGAAAGATACCATTGTTAATATTCCCTTTTTCCTAATATATTTGAAAAACTCCTCCTTTCACAGTTAAAGTTTTCCTTGCTTACAAAAGGTTTTTTTTGTCACTAATCATTTATGTGTAATTATTTTGGGAAGTTTATATAGTCCACTTTATTACTTGTGTTCCTTATTATTTATTGTTAGTCATATGGGGAAAATTAGATCAGTTATTTCATATGATATGGTGTCATTAGTATGTGGAATAACATAAATAAACAAGTTATCAAAACTACTCATTGGCTTCTTTGTTATTTATTATTATAATAAATATCAATGCACATTTGATATACTTAAAATGGTCTGATTTTATTCACTGGAATTGCGGACAAGAGTTGTAGGATCTGTGAAGGATAGAGAGTGAATCTGTTCTGCATTCTGTTCTTAAACCCTGCACAACCTTTTTAAAAAAACGTATTAACAGGTATCTAATAAATGTTGCTTCCTTTTTCGCAGAAATGAAAAATTCCATTGAAATGCATGCTATATTATCTAGAGCATGTCTCACTTTTTGCTTTTTCTGTCCCTTATCTTTCCCTCTGCTTTTCAGTGTACACGATTCTCTCTAAGGTGCACTCAGATCGGAATGTATATCCTTCGGCTGGAGTTCTTTTTGTTCATGTTTTGGAGAGAGAGTACTTTAAGGGGGAGTTTCCTCCTTATCCAAAGCCTGGTATGGGATGCTTAGATCTTCTGTATTATAGAAAAATATTTTTATTTTTAAGTTCAAGATTTCAAATGTATTTTGAATGCTTTATAATACTGTACTTATATATATAAAAAACAACATTTTTAATGGCTTTTGAGTCTGTTCAGATAAAGTAAGCAGATAATCTGAAATTTTTTCAATCTTAAGATTTACTAGCATTGTGTGAAAAGAAGTGCATACTGCTGTACGTGTTGAATAGCGAAGTTATGTGGGTGTGACCCTTTTCTTTGCTATCTGATTCAGTGTAATAACTGGTAAAAAGATCCCACGTTATGGTGATTCTGTAAAAATGTCACCATTTGAACATTATTTATCTTTCATATTAAACACACATTAATAGTCAGAGGCCTTGGACAGATGTTATATCTGTTTGAATTTTCAGGAATTTCTCCGTAGTCATATGTAATATAGGTTAGAAATAGGAGTGGTCAGACAAAGCAGATCAGTTGTGCTGGGATGTGCCCTGGCACAACTGATTCACTCCATCGAGCAAAACAAGTCTTTTACTGTCCCACCCTTTGATGCTGCAGGACGTGGGTGATGTTCTCCTAGGCTTTAAAAGGCCCAGATCTGTACTCCATGGGAATTTCTGCATGGGATTGGGCCCCTCAAGCCATGGGAGCTCCTGTCCAGCTTTCCCTGCTTACAGAGATGCGTCTCCAGGATCTCTAGGGTGTGTCTTGATAGGAATGGAGAGTTTGGGTTTCCCTGCTTACCAAGATGTGCCTCCAGGATCTCTGGGGCACATCTTGGTAAGCGTTGAAAGCCAGGAAGGTGCTCCTTGGACTTGAGGGGCCTGATCCTGTGAACCCCAGGAATTCCTGTGCAAAATTGGGCCTCTCATGCCCTGGGAGCACCTGTCTGGCCTTTTTGCTGAGATACTCTCCAAAGATCTCCAGGGTTTCTCAAGCCCCATCGCACCTGCCTGGGGGACTGAAAAGTGTGGACAGCTCTGGGCTGATGGTACTCTCACACCATAAAGTACATGGATGCCTACCACTAATTAGCAGCACAATTTGATACCACCTTTGTTGGGACCACAAATTTTGGGCATTCGTGGTGTGACATGGGTTATGGATGTCCATTTCCTTGATCTCTGTGACACCATAAAAATCTTTACGGAAGAACAAAGCAATGAAAGGCAGTTTCATATAGCACTAACAGGGGGTTTCTTGCACCCCCAACATCCCACAGTGCTCTGCTCTCCCCTCAGGAAAGGAGAGGGGGGGCAACTGGCTCAATTACAGTCCAGCGTGGGAATAGAGATGCACCCTGGGCAAGGCTGGGCTCTGCAGCTCTGCTTGCGGTAGCAGTAGGGCTTGTTGCTTCCACCATATGGAACTAGGCAGGGTGTCAGTGATCAGGTTCACTGACAGGCTCCTCTTCCATGGGGGAAGCAGAGAAGTAACTGCCTCACTCCCAGGCTAAATACAGACATTTGGGGAGGTTAATTCGGGTTCCAAATGGCTGCCTGGTTTAAACTTAGCTTGTCCTGGTGCTGACCTTACAATTACAGACCCAGTCTCAGTAACTGGCAGTCAGTGTAAACCTGTAACTGTACACAAGTTCCGTGCACACAAACTGGTCTAAAAATTGCAGAACCCGGTTTAAGATAAACCTGGATCTATGTACAGTAAAAGCTTTGTTATCCAGCATGAGTAGGGTAAGGGGGATTCCAGTTTTTTGGACTTGCACATGGTAGTGGCGCAGGGTGGTGGATGGTGGTGGTGGCATCAAAGCTCCTCCTCTTCTCCCCCACCCACCCCATGTCCTGCCAGCCAGGTGGCACCTATGCAGACCGCAGAGGGGAGCTGCTGCCTTTGCCCTCCCTGCCCCCTCTGGTCCTGCTCAAGAAATACTTGATGCGCATGCCGGATATTCCGGTTAATAGAGTATTCCAGTTAGTAAAATGCTGGTTAACATAGCTTTTACTGTAGTATGAAACCTATTCAATTTAGGTCAAACTAGTGCATGGAACTTCTGTACACTTTCCCTGCTCAGGCGCTGGCCCTAGCCTTGGGGCTCCTCTTTTCACCCTTCCCCCCCCAAACTGGCCTATTTTTTGCACCCACATCCCCTGGACCAGGCAGCCCTCTCAACCCACATCCCACAAGGTGCTTCAGGTGCAGCTGCTTTTATCAGTGTTACTTGCTTGGCTCTGGCAGCAGAAAGTCCCAGTGTGGGGAGGGGCAAGAGAGATGGGGATCACTAGGGTTTCACTGGGGGGGGGCAGGGGGCTTAAGGGAGGCCCAGGGGCCCCCCCCCCCATCCCTCCAGACATTCCTGGACCCCAGCAAAACCCTGTGGCTTGTGCCTGTCCTTTCCCCACCTGCTGGTTGTATTGCCCCCGCCTCCCACCCATGGGTCATGCCTGCCCCCCACCCCTTGTGGGTTGCGCTTACCCCTCCTGCTCCACCTGCAGGTTGCGTCTGTCCCCCACCCCTCATGGATTGTGCCCCCCCTCATCACCCGGTAATCCCCTCCAGCCTGCTGGACCCCCAAACCCCCCACTAGTCCTCCCCATCCTGACTTACGTGATATCAGGCAGCCATTTTGGACCAATTTAACTTTCCTTACTGCCCCCAAATGTCTCTATTTAGCCCCTGCTGGAGAGCATGCCTTTGCAGTGATCTTGTAGTGCTCCAGCCAAGAATTCTGAATGTGTGAACTACCTTTGTAGCACTACAAATGCACATCTGTCCAAGGCCAAGAAGGACCATGAAGTAATTTTGGACAAATAAAATATAAAATCATTTATATTCCCTTGAATTAATTTCTCTTCTTTCCTACATTCAGAAACTTAAAAGAAATTATAAAGCAACCTTTTACCAAAGAAAAAGTGGTATTGTCAAAAGCATGGTATTTTGATTTATACCCCCGAAGTTGAAACAAAGACTATGATTAGTAAGACGGAAAATAAAAGTTTAAGCTGCTCTCAAAAACTTACAAAGATTTCTAATTTTTGTTGCAATTTAAAAAAAATCATATAAAGATAAAGGACATTTTGCCCTACTTTATTCATAAATAATTGCATAGTTTTATTGAAAGAAATATGAATAAAATAAATGGATAACTTTTTTAATTGATTCTCAGAAACAGTACCCTTGAAGTCACTTTGGAGAAAAATAAATTTCTTTCATTGTCACGTTTAAAATATTCAAGAGCAGAAATGACTTATTCTGTTCTTATTTCATCTTATCTAAGGCTGGGTGTTTAGACATTCTCTTATTCTTGGGTCTATGGTCCATGTATGACTGGAGATGATGTGGGATTTGGCTGCTAGCCAGTAGTAGGGTGAAATCTGCCTCTGGCCCAGTTTGCCTGGCTTGAGCTAACAGCTTTATTATGTAGAAGGAAAGGATTTCGAAGTACTTTCCTTATTGCATATAATTTCTAGTACACTGCTGGCCCAGACTATAACTTAATTCAAGTCAGGTCAAAGATTCATAGATTCTAGGATCAGAAGGCCACAGCTGTAGGTATATCATGGACTTCATGAATGCCATGTTAGCTAGAAGGCCTAATCTTTGCAATATTTACATGGCCTTTGTTTAAACCTGTTCTGGGACAGAATTCTGCCAAATCCTTGGCATTGTAGGTTATTTCTTGGGGAAGGATTTTGAAATGAGCTGATCTAAAATTGACCTTGGATCTCAAATCACGATAGTAGATAGTTTACCATGAATCCTAGCAACTTCTTCACCCTAGTAAGATTATTCCTAGGGCAGTGATAGTGAGACTGTTTATCTTGTGGTAAAGGCAGTACAACTTTTTCGCCATTTTCCCCTACAGGTAGTGATTTTTATGCATGGTTTGTGTCTAGCTCTTCAACTAAATTAAAAATCAGCCATCCACTAGAGCATGTGTGTCAATGATATGGCCCACCAGGTGGATCTGGCCTACGGGGCTGCTTCATGTAGTCTGCAGTGCTCCTGGAGGGACTGTGAGTTTGGGGGCAGGTCGATTGTGGATGAGCCCACTGCCAACTGCTTAGGTAGAGCCCTGTTGAGGATGCATGTCAGTGGTGGGGCAATGAGTGACCACTGTCACTACTGCTCACCCCACTCATTCCAATGCAACCACTGCTCCTCCTGGAGGTGAGTCTGTGAGGTCACCCCAGAGGTGAGCCTCAGCCCTGCAGCTAAATCTGGCCCATGATGTGGCCCTGCAGGTATAGGATGAGTTTTACATCCTTGCACTAGCACTGAGAGAGCCCAAGGAAGCAGAAATCCAGTTTTCTTTGCCCGGTTTCTCACTTTCTCCCTTATTTGCAGGTTCTGGCTTTAGGAGTCTTTGCCTGGTCTTTCTTAATATGGGTCATAATTTATTTTCTCAAATGTCTGCAAAAACCCACACCCTCTCATATGGCGAAGTGAAGGGGAACTTGCATCTGTTGTGTGTTGGAAGGGTTATTCTTCAGCTCAAAAGTAAATGAGTGCCCTAAAGCAAATCCGTTGTCCAGTTGTCTGTATTGAGGACTTCTATGTCTTGACATGCCCAGAAGTATCAAGGCAAAACCCTCCCCCCTCCCCCAATAAAGACTGTAACAATTGTACATCAAAGAATCCTGATACAGGCCGTTACAATGCAAGTGTTACATCTTTATGTTTCCATAGGGATACAGCATTTCAAAATCACTCCAACTTTAACACTGTTTCATTCAAGGTCAAAGATAGGGCAATTGAGCTAACTTGTATGGCTACAGGATCATGAAGACATGAACAGCAGTTCCCCATCCTCTTATCAAGTGGCTTAAAGGTAAGTTTTTCCATACCCATAGTCTCTAGAATCTCTAGGCAGGTTCTCTAGAATTTTTCAAAATAGATGGTTTTCTTGCTTGGAAATATTGGGCTGAAGATTTTTTGTTTGTTGGTAGAGAGTTGAGGTGCCTCATTCTGGAGAGAATCTGAACCTCCTTAAATTAATACCTAGTAACTGATAATTGAAAACATTAAGGGCCACCAGAGTGCTAAAGAGTATAAGCATATTCCACCCTACTGTTGGCTGTACATTTCAAATGCAGAATTTGTGCCAGTTACACATGCTGAGCATAGACTCTGGATTATGGATGTGTCAAATGAAACTATTCCAGTGAAAGGAGATTGCAAATTAATAACTGTCCTTTTTCCCCATGGAAATGCAGCAGTGTATCCCAAAACATTCTATATGTTGCTTATACAACAAAAACAGATTTAAAGTGGAAATGGAAACTATCAAATGAGTTATATGTAAGTGCATTTATAAAATATTCTAATATTTATGTCTTACCCAGGTGAAGTAAATAATGATCCTATAACATTTAATACCAACTTAATGGGTTACCCTGACAGACCTGGATGGCTACGCTACATTCAGAGGACACCATACAGTGATGGAGTGCTGTATGGATCACCAACTATAGAAAATGTGGGCAAACCAACCATCATTGAGGTAACTCCTTTAAAAAAAGTATCAGATAGATGTAGTTCATCTAAACATCTAAGATTCAGAGCTATATCGAGAATTCCAGATGTGAGTTCAGCTTTTAGTAAACTTACACATAATTGTACCAATACAAACCCTCATTTGAATTGTGTTATTTATGTGCTATATTAAAACAAGTGAATTTAACTTTTGAAAACATAAAAGAAGTTTAAATAAAAAGAAAAAAAATCTTGGGGGAGATTGCGACAGTAAGATTTTCTTCTCCCTAGAAATCATTATAGTGTTGTATGAAAATATTGGTAACATCTAAGAATAAAGAGACCTGACTTAGCTTTTACATAACAAAGAGAGAAAAAAGCCTCTGGCCCTTTGTCCTTTTTTCCTTGTAATATGTTTGTAGGTATTTGTAGTTTATTTCAGTAAACTAGAAGTAATTTTTAAATCTTGTGTTGGTATTCAGTTTACATAAAATATAGTTCAACATAAATTTTAAAATATTTAGGTGAAACATCTGAATTTTACAGTCCTCTTCCCTAGAAATATACATTTTTTTTTCAGTGCAAAGCAAATTTGGTTGTTAAACCAGCTTTTTCTTACTTGATGACAGTGATGTCATGGAACAATATATTTTATTTTTTTAGATTAGATTTGACCCAGCTAGATTAAGCTAGTTCAAAAGGGAACTGAACTGGTGCTTGGAGGAAAGGTCCATCAGTAGGTGATGAACATAATAAATAGGGATGTGCCTCTGAAGCAGAACATCCTAAACCTCTGAATGTTGGAAGTTGCAATGGCAGAGGAGTAAGGGCTGGAAAATCCTGGACATGCCCTTTTCACCCTTTCCCTGAGCATCCATTCCCTGCTGCTATTGAGACAAGGTGCTAGGCTACATGGACCTGTGGCCTGACCCAGTAAATGTCAGTTCTTAAGTCTTATGTTCTTATTCTCATTAACAAAATATTTGCTATTCTAATCTCATAATAAATCATGCTGACAAGTACCTTTTAATCAAAATCCCCAATATGAATGTAACTTTTACAATTAACTTAGTAAATTTTTAAAAATACTATTATTCTTACAATGAACAGCATACATTTCTTCCTGTACCATAAACTGGGGAGCAAAAGTGGCAGTTCTGCAGCTTTCAGTGTTAAGGAAAATATCTGCTAAAATTAACTTGCCCACTTCAGTAATTTTGCTTGGGCAGCAGTACCTGTGTGTTAGAACTTTGATTAATTATTTCTCTAGATTGCTTTTGATATAGATTTAATAACTTGCTCTTTTCCAAAGACAAAATATCTAAATACTAATCTCAATTATGGTCCTGCCAATAGTTTTCCACATGTTTAATTTTATGTATGTGATTAATCCTTTGATTTCAGTGTGACTAATCAAATGAATAGAATGAAGTATGTGCAGAAATCTACAGGATTAGAATAATGGATTTTTTAAAGAAACTATTTAAAATGTTGCCCTCTCTTGGAAAGCATGTCATTTAGGGGCCTAGTAGATATTGATTTAGTTGTGTGATTGTGATCTGACACATTCTACCCTGGATCCAAAAATTGTGTGTCCTGCCATGCCAGAAGTGCATGGAACGACACATGATTTTGGGTTTCAGGATAAAATTTGTCAGATCCCAGTTGCATGACTGCTAAGACGTGGGAAGCTGCCAGCAAGTGGCATCTCCGATGCCAGGTTCCCAGAGCACTTGGACATTTAAACTGCATACCTACAGCTGACTACAAGCACACCGGGGTGTGGGTAGCTGGGGATCTGGGAGTCCTCAATCCATAGCTGTCCATGCTATGAATTTGTCTACAGTGTGGGTGACTAAGGATCGGGGACCTCAATACCATACTTTTTAATTTAAAAATGCAAACCAGCCACAAATATGTTCTACATTTAATCGTGATAAATGTTGAAGATACGGCATGCTGAAATTAATTATGTGATAAATGTAATGTCTAGCAGAGGCCTTAAGGTTTGACACCTGTATCATGCTTCACCAAGAGTGAACCTCTATGACATAATGCGGAGATGCCTTGAGCATAGACACCCTGTGAATGCACTATCTTGAACCACAGTATACAGTAGAAGGCAGAACCACGCACAGAGATCTAAGCTACCTTTGTATACGTGACCTACTGGAAGCAGTAAAAGTGTGCTGTTTGTTATAACTGTTGGGGCTATATAGCTTCTGGTTCCAGAGCTAGCTCAGGTGTTTCTGCACAACATTGCCATGTATATATACTTTAACTTCATATTTAGATTAGTCAGTGGCTGTGTCTACACAAGATGCTGATTGCGCATTAAGTGGTGTTACTACTCAGTCATGCTGAGGAACAGCTTTTTATGATGCTGGCTGCACAGTAGCTCATTACTAGTGCTAAGTAGTGTTGCATCACACTTCCTGCCATGCAACGCTACTGTGCAGTCAGTGTCTCGTGTAGACACAGCCAGTATGGCTTTGGTCAAGTGCAGGGGCCTTAATGGGCACAGAAATAAGATAACAAGATTAGGACCTACATTTTCATATGATAATTTTAGTTTTTTTGATAACTTATTCCACTGAGCTCAATGCTGAATATTTGATGTGGTTTAGATTTAAAATGTTATCTGTTCTTGAAGCTTGATTTTCTTGTTTGACATTTCTTTATAAGTGAGCTCTCTTTTGTCGTCTTATGAAATATTTTAATATGTATTTTGTGAGATAGCTCTAACGAATGCTTTATCCATCTTGTTTTGTGTTTATTCTTAAATAATTTGGGGCGTTGACAGATGTGGGGAGGGGGAAAAACGAACTTTATGGGAAGAATCAGCGCGTTAGTTTGACTCGTTTCCGCAGAATCTGTATAGCTCGGGTGCTTCAGTGGGGCTTTTTGGTGCTTTTAGCTAAAGCTGATTCAATCTGCTATTAAAAGCGCCAAAAAAGCCCCACAAAAACACCCAACCTATACAGACATTGAGCAAGCCAGGTCCAGCTAACACATGCCTCTTATGGGCATGTGCTGGGCTCAGCACTGGGCTGCATGGAGTTTAAAGTAAAGTACCAGGTTTTTTCTTTTTACATCTGTAGGCAGCCTTGAATTATAAATAAAAATAAGAATATTAACTATTTTAATCAGTATTCCCCCAGATTTTGGGGTGCACCAATAGAGATTTTTTGGGTTGATACCAATGGCCAGTATTTAAGGAGCCATATTGTCCAATATTGATCTGATTCTGATATGCAGCCCTGCAGCTTGGACACCAGTGTCAGGCTGGTAGGTCTGGTGTGGGGGAAGGGGAGGGGGAAGGAGGAGTATGGTGGGGGCAAATCAAGGCCCCCACAGTGAGGGAGGGAGTGGAGCAGGAGCAGATGCTGCTCAGTCGGGGCAGGGCAGGGTGCGGGATGGAGCCACAAGCAGCTCATCTGGGGAGCATGGTGGGGGGACAGCTCCCACTGCTGCACGCACCCTGGGAGGCCATGCTCTCCTAGGGTGTGTGCAGTGGTGGGAACCACCTCCCCCCATGGCTCTGTCTCATGCCCCACCTTGGTTGAGCAGCACCTGCCCCTGCCCCACTCTCTCCTCTTCACCATGGAGGCCTTGATTTCCCCCCCACCCCTTCCCCCACAACAGACTTTACCAGCTGGTTGTCGCTCTCCAAGCCAACAGGCTGTGCTCCTGGCTGCGTGCATGCTGTGGCTGTGTGCATGCAAAGGGCATTTACTGGCCACATCAGGCAAAAAATGCCAGTTTCTGCAGTTTTCCCTATATCGGCGCCGATCCGGTATGAGACCCATGTATCGGTGCACCTCTACCAGATTTGGTTTCACAGCAAAAAGTCTTATTATTAAATCTCACAGAAATATAATTTTCTGCTAATGTTATTGTTCACCATTTCTGTTCCATAGGATGCATGCTTTTGCAACTTAAGCACTATTCTCTTCACTTACATAGGGGTGTGTATGTAACGGATATACCAGACTATTCCTCCTTATTCAAACTCATTCTAAAGATCTGTTGTTATTCTGAGGTTTTTGGTTGTAGCCGTGTTGGTCTAAGGAGATAGGCAGGGAAGTTTCTTTGGTTAGATGTGATATCTTTTATTAGACCAACTGAGTAGTTAGAAAAAAGTTCTTAGCAAGCTTTCAGGCACAATCACCCTTCTTTAGGCATAGGAAGTCTCTGCTGTTCTAAGACTCCAAGGAATGAGAGAAGAACAGCAGAGACTTCCTATGCCTGAAGAAGGGTGATTGCACCTGAAAGCTTGCTAAGAACTTTTTTCTAACTACTTAGTTGGTCTAATACAATATATCACATCTACTCAGATAACCTTGTCTGCCATTGTTATTCTGATGTATTCAAGAATTATTAATTTTTTAAAGAATTTATTCCATTATGCTGTGAACTGTCTCTTTCATTTCTTCACCTGAGAGGCTATATAATTCCATTCCTGTAACCACTTTCCTGCCTGCACACTCTGACAATTTGGATTTGATTATTTGACAGTCTCTGACAATTTGACACCACTGCAGTAGGGTGCTCAGTTATGCCAAGACAACAGTAAGCCCAGCTATCTGCTCCCACTCCGCACAGGTCATCCTTAGATGTAAAGATGCTCTGGGAGAACCCTAAGATGCTTCTCTTGAGCATAGTGTGCCATCCCAGTGCTTCCTTAACAGCTCATTTCCAAGGTTGACATGTACAGACCAGCAGAAGGTACACAGGCCTTATTGCCCCAGCAGTGTGACTGGGCAGCCTGTTTTCCCACTGTGCCTTTTGTTACCTCTCTTCACTGAAATATACATTGCAAACTCTTTGGAACTGAGATCATGTACTTTCAGATGATAGTAGGGTGTGAGGTGGGGAGGGAAGAAAGGAAAGAAAAAGAAAGATGCACAATAATATTGATACAGGCTTCATTTCAGATTCCACTTGAATTAACTCATAATTTTGATATGCGACTTCTAACGACAGTCATACAATAATCATAAAGAACTGCATTTGACCATTGTGTGAACACCACAGATCTTACCTGGACTTTAAGGTTTCATGTCCGGGTACCTTTACATAGTTCCTATATACAGAGACATTTTTCCAAAAAGGAGAAGTATATACTCTGCATCCTCTAGTGGCTTTCAGTTCACCTAAAGATAAAACAATTTGGCATTATTTATCTTGTGTTGAAATAGTGCATAGGAAACCAAACAATGGCCCTAACTAGAAGATGGCCACTTTCACAAAGAACTTACAGTAATCTTTCCTCTAATACCTATAGCTGGTTTAGCTCAACCAAAGGCAAGATTGAACAGAAGCTTTACAGCTTGCAGGACAGAATGCAAAATCCATTCCTGTGGTATAGTATTCCCAGAATTACATGAATAAAAGATTCTCTCTCTCACACACACACACACACACACACACACACACACACACACACACACACATTTCTACTTCTGTTCCTCAAATGAAAGAAAGAGGAAGAGAAAATACATGTTTGTGGAAAATAACTTATTTGTAGAGGTGCACCGATGCATCAGTCTGATATTGGATCAGCACCAATATAAAGAAAATTGATTGCATTGGAAATTGGCCTGATGTACTGATAATTTGGCCGATAATTTGGCATGCGCACAGCCACAGTGCAGTATGCAGGCAGCGAGCAGCTGGGTAAGTTTGTTGTGGTAGAAGGGGAGGGAGGAGGAAAGAGGGGTGGGGAAGGCAGATCAAGGCCCCTGCAGTGAGGGAGGGAGTGGGGTAGGGGCTGGGGCTGGTGCTGTCCAGCTGGGGTGGGGCAGGGTGTGGGATGGAGCTATGGCTTGTCCAGGTGGTGTGGGGCAGGGTGGTTCCTGTGCGCCCCCAGATTTGCGCGAGGTGGGCTGCTGCTTTGGGCTCAGGCCGGTGCTGTGCCAGGCTCTTCCTGGTGCGTGGAGGCTGCGCTCGGCTGCAGGGCCATGCTCAGGGCTGCGCTTCCAGTGCGCGGGGGCTGTGCTTGGAGGCGGTTATGGTGAAATTTTGGGTGGCTGCAGCCCCCTCCTCCCCCCCGTAACCCCTCTTCCAGCCCCACCACCACCCACCCTGAAGGGCACAGCCCTGGCCCAACCCTCCTCCCCCCTCCCCCTCCCAACTGGGAACAGTCTGTTGCAGCCCTGGCCCCAGCCCAGAACTGCAGCCGGCCCCACCCTGTGCAGATCTGGGGGCATGCTCCCCTCCCCGTGCCATCTCAGGGTGCATGCAGCAGCAGGAGCCACCCCCCACTCGTGCCCCCTGGACGAGCTGCAGCTCCTTCCTGTGCCCTGCCCTGCCCCAGCTGGGCAGCACCTACCCCAGCCCCACTCCCTGTCTCACCACAGGAACCCTTGATCTGCCCCACCACGCCCCTTCCCTCCCTGTCTACCACAACAGACTCACCAGCTGGACGCAGCTGTATCCTAAATCGGATCGGTATCAGCCCCCCAAATCTCTGTCAGTGCACCCCTACTTATTTGGATGTAAATACGTTACATTTGTAGATATTGCACAGATGAGTAGAGTTTAGATAACTAGGTAGACTAGTGAAAAAGTTTCAATAAGTTTCAGTACTCTATCAAAACCCATAGTCTTATTCTGTTGATCCAAATAGATTATTTTTCTTGTAGTCAAAATAAGCTTGTTCCAGTGATTATGTAAGGGAACATATTTAAAACAAGGAAAGATCATAGAAAATTAGGGTTGGAAGGGACCTCAGGAGGTCATCTAGTTCAACTCCCTTCTCAAAGCAGGACCATCCCCACCTAGATCATCCCAGCCAAGGCTTTATCTAACCAGGTCTTAAAAACCTCCAATGGAGATTCCACAATGTCTCTGGGTAACTTGCTCCAGTGTTTTACTACTCTCTTACTGAGAAAATGCTTCTAACCTAAACTTCCCTTGCTGCAACTTGAGACTGTTGCTCCTTGTTCTGTCTTCTGCCACCACTGAGAACAGTCTAGCTTCATCCTCTTTTGATGTTTTACCTTGAATTCATAATTTGGTTTTTATATTTATACCACAGTTCTTCTATCATTTCTCTTTCATTTTAGATTACTGCTTACAACAGGCGCACCTTTGAGACTGCAAGACATAATTTAATCATTAACATAATGTCAGCAGAAGGTACGTACTGAAAATTGCTTATACCGCGTTAGGCTATTAAAATATATGCTAATTCTTTTTCCTCTTTCTTTCTCCTATTTATTTATTGTTAAACTATCTCTTGCCTGGGTAACTTACGACCTGTTCATAAAAATAGTTATAAAAGAGGTACGTTTTTTCCTTTTGATCAAATTAACACCAAATTGTACAGGCAGTCCTTGATTTACGACTGAGTTGCAACAAATGTCGCTTACAACATTTATAATTGACACCTTGTTTTAATGTTCTGACGTGGGTTTTGACTTTATGACAGTCGATACAGCTGCGTCGAGCTGGTAAGTCCATTGTGGTGGAAGGGGAGCGGGGAGGCAAAGGGCATGGGGGGTGCAGATAAAGGCCCCTGCGGTGAGGGAGGGACTGGGGCTGGGTCAAGGGTTGCCCAGCCAGGACAGCACTCGGAGGCAAAGAAGGGCGGGGGGGGGGGGGGGGGGGGTGCAGGGAGGGAGGTGGTGGTGGTTCTTGCTGCTGTGCACTGCTCATCTGGCAGCTCCTGCTGCTGCATGCTGCTTGTCCGGAGGCAGCACAGCGGCTCCGTCCTGTGCCTGCTCTGCTGGGGCGATCAGTGGGAGGGCATAGCCTCCACTCCCAGTGCCGCCACTACCTGCCTGGTGTGCAGCCCAGTGAGGCCCTGGCCCTGCCCGCCCTGATCCAGGGGCCCCCCCCCCCACCCCATGCCCTCCTGGACAAGTGGCAGGAGCAGCGGTGGGAACTGCTGGATGAGCCGCCAGACGAGCAGTGCACGGCGGCAGGAGCCGCCACCCCTTCCCTCCCCGACAAGCTGCAGCTCAGTCCTGTACCTGCCCAGCCCTGGGTGGGCAGCTCTTGCCCCAGTCCCTTCCTCACCATGGGGACCTTGATCTGCCCCCCACACCTCTTCCCTTCTCCCTCACTTCCTACCACAATGGACTTACCAGCTCAACGCAGTTGTATCAACAGCCATAAAGGAACCAATCCTCCATTTATAACACTGTTCCTATGGGAAAATTGGTTCCGACTTACGACATTTTGACTTAAGATGCAGTTTTCAGGAACCAATTGTGTCAAAAGTCTGAAGACTGCCTGTACTTGTTTTCAGCATCTAGACTACATAGAAGTGGTTTAGCCCTCCTGCAAATTATTTGTTTTGCACATCAATGGTAATGGTAGGTATATAGTAATGATATTTGAGAAGCGCCTCTAGCCTTTAAAATTAAAGAACAGAACAATTAAAGACAGGAATGTTAGCATTATTTTGCATATTTGAGGTAAATTCAGGATTAATCTTTAAAGTATAGATTGATAAGTGTTTTCTTAAGTCTGTGACATTGGGTCACATTCACCAATATCATAATAAGGTTCTGCTCTACTGAAGTAAACTGAATTGCCCAGTGTTGTCCTCACAGTAATGATATTAGGATTTTGAAATGGTATCAAGGACAATCAGTCCACTGTTTTTAGCATCTTTACGAAATATGAATTTAATTATATTAAAAGCAAATGCTTAGACAAGTTGTAACCTTCAAAATACAGATTGCTTTGCAAAGCAGGCAGTTGTACTTTTTATTTGTCTTTCTATGTTTGAGACCAGTTTTCATGGAATAAGATTCTCCAAATAAATAAAATATGCTAAATTCTAATCCTATTCATACTGGTGTAAATCTTGAATATCTCTGAAGTCAGTGGACTTTCAAGAAACCCACACTAGTGCAGATAAGTACCTGGTTGGATGGGCCACATTCAGCAGGGATTAATGCTGGTGCAGACTGGTGAGAGAGGAGTGTAAGTGATAAAGGAAGCATTTGCATTGATTTGGCATTCACTGAATATACAAAATAAGCAAAAGTCAAAAAACAGTCAAAAGACACTGTTCATAGGAAAAAGCAGCTAGCAGAATGTTTGAAGATAAAGTGGGGGCATTTTCTTACAGCCTTCTGCTGGTTGCATTTCCTTTTCACATGCTCTTCAAAACTGCCTGCAACTAAAATTTCTTCTTAAAACTGCATGTTCTGATAGCAGCTTTTCCACATTATTTTATATGAATGCATTGGGTATATCTTGCTAAAGTCTTTTTCATTACCCTTACCAATTAGTTAAAAGCTAGTGCAAGTATACCCTACTTGTGTTTCAGTCACATTTTTAATTGCTGTGTAAGCATACCCCAAAATGTAGGGATGCAGGAGACTGGATACTCTGTGTCAATTTTGTTGAGATTAGAGGTGCACCAATACATCGGTCCCTTATTGTATTGGCACTGATATAAGGAAAATTGACATTATTAGCAATCAGCTTTTTTTGTCTGATGTGGCTGATAATGTCGCCAGTAAATGCTGCATGCATGCGCACAGCCACAGCATAGGCCAGGAACGCAGCCTTGCAGTGTGAAGAGCAGTGTCTGGCTGGTAAGTCTGATGGGAGAAAGCGGTGGGGGGGGGCAGGACAGACTGAAGCCCCTGTGGTGAGGGAGGGAGTGGGGCTAGGGTAGAGGTAGTGGCAGTGGCAGGGGCAGGTGCTGCACAGCCAGGGTGGGACACAGGATGGAGCTACCAGCAGCTTGTCTGGGGGGTATGGGGATGGGATGGTGGCTCTTGCTGCTACATGCAGCCTGGGAGGCCATGGGGGCATATGCCTTTGGATCTGTGCCCCTGCCCCACTCCCTCCCTCACCACGGGAACTCCACACGCCCCTTCCCTCCCCCCCTGCAGCTTACCCCCCTCAGACTTGCCAGCCAGACGCTGCTTTCCAAGCTGCCAGGCCACATATCAGCATTCAGATCGGTATCAGCCAATATGGCTCGTTAAAAATCAGTGTCTGTATTGGCCCCCAAAATCTCAATTGGTGCACCCCTAGTTGAAATGTAAAAAGTAGATATTTTACATTATAGGGCTGGGTAACTGACTAGTCAAATAAAGCTTGGTCCAAATATTGGTCAAAAATTGTAAAAAAATTGACAACAGATCCAAAAACTACACAGAAAAAGCACAGATTGTTCATTAAAAAGGTGTCAAAATTAATAGTTTGGTCAAGAAAATTACGAAAAAATGTATTTTTTTGTAACATTACTATAATCTTTGACCAGTCAAAATAAATATATGCAGTCAATTGACAATATTAGATTGGGCAATTGACTAGCTTGCCAACTGTATTGCATTAAACAAATAACTATGTCATAGTTCACATCTGAAAACTGTAAGGGTCAACTTCAGAGCAATACTAATGATTTGTCTTAAAATCTAGAAGACCACCCTGGCTGTAGATTGTGACATTTTATGGATTTTGGATATGCACAGTAAAGCAAATGATTTTTCAGACAGAAGACAGATAAAGTGAAACTTAAAATGTTGTCTGCCACTACCTTCAGTTTCAACCTGGAGTTGAGACCTGTCGAGTTTACATCATCCTATAAGTGATTCAGGTTTAAGGTATAGAGCACTGCAGGTTAGAGCACAATGTAGGCTACATCTTTTCCTTCTCAGTCCGGGTAAATATAATTTTCTCCATGTAATAAAGATCCATGTTAGCCTTCAGTTGGCAGATCCTTACCTAATGAAAATTGCCATTTTTCCATTGAAGTCAGCAATGCAAACTGTCAAAGGCACCATTGCCAAGACAATCTCCAGTGTTTCTGCTCTAAACTATAGCTGGTGATATTAAAAAAAAAGCCGGGGGTGGGGGGAGGGAAGGAAATTGAGAAATAAGAATACCCAAGTCAGATTTGGGGTATACTAAGTAAGGTATTTTGAACAGGTGTCTCCTCAATAAGGCAGTGCTGTATAATTATTCAACTATTATTTTAGTTCTTTTGTAAGATAACCTTCAATGAACACCTAACTTTTCCTTCACAACTAGACTTTCCTTTACCTTATCAAGCGGAATTCTTCATAAAGAACATGAATGTAGAAGAAATGTTAGCAAGTGAGGTACTTGGAGATTTTCTTGGAGCAGTGAAAAATGTATGGCAACCAGAGCGTTTGAATGCCATAAACATCACCTCAGCTCTAGACAGAGGAGGCAGAGTTCCACTTCCTATCAATGATATGAAGGAGGGGTAAGCATACACCTGTAAATATATTAGGTATATACATCTTTTAGCATGCAAACTGAATGTATTTGGAATGTTTAATATTACTTTTAGGTATTCAAGAGACTTTACTTTTAAAAACTCAATTTGTGTAAGATTTTAAAAGTTCACTAGAGCACAGAGGCTTCAATCAAGCCAGGGCACTGTATGAAAAAAACAAACAAACATGCAACTCTATCCAATAAAGAACTTATATTTGTAATTCCCACTTACAGCACCAGGCATTGCTGTATGAGGTCATGTCTTGCTCTACACCTTCAACCTGTAGCCACCTCAGTGTGCACATACTTGCTCTCACTGTTTCTCAGCAGAGCTTATTGGCACACATTCAGTGCCACACTAAAGCAGCTGGCTGCACTGTCTCTGGTTCAGGAAGTAGTGCATATGGAGTAGCAAAGTGTGATCTCAGTTTGGTGCTGCCTGGTGTATATTTGAGCAGCGTAGACACTTATGGCAAGACTTGAGTGAATATTACATACCAAAGTCCAAAATTGCAAACATAAATTCTTGCTCAGCTGCCATATAACCTTGGGATGCATCTAAACTCATTAGATGTGTCCCTTGCTTGACTTAAAATATTCCTAGGAACCTTAAGCTCTGCTTTTGTTCCTACCCAGAAGTAAGCAGATAAGTGCTTATCTTCTGTCTAAGTCCTTTTGGGATCCAGGAACTAAACCCTCCTACTTAGGTCCCCCGAGGCATCTGCTCCAGTAGATCTGATCTCAGAGCATACCTAACGCACTCTTACAGGACCATCATAGAATGCACTTACATGGTGTTGATACTGCCCACCTTTCATATACCCCATTTAAATCAATTCTATGACAAGGTTTTTCCCTAATTTAATATCAGGGGAAAAGCTCCTAGTCTTAGAATCACATACAAGGTATGGATGTAAAAGGTAATGTGACAAGAGCACCTTCCAGTCCCAGTACTAGTATGGCTCTGCCCTTGTCTCTGGGCAAGCTGCCCACCTTGTTCACCTGCCATGCCTTGTTGATAAATGATTGTGATGTTAAATAGGTGGGAAGCTGCCCTTTGTGCACCCAAATGACCGTAGGTGATAGGTACATGCTCCAACCATCCCCACACCTGTCCCATGCGTCGCTGATGTCTCACACTGTGTTCCATCTCCAGTTCAAAGCCAGGTCCAACTGGACACAGTTGTTTGTCTCCCACGCTGCCTTCTCAGGCCACGCACACACCACCCCCCTCTCACATACTCCACTGGCTCTCACCCGGTCTCTTGCATACCGCCTATCCAGGACACATTCACACCACCCTACTCACCGAGATCCTTGGGCTTTACTCTCCACCCCGTGGTCAACCCTGGCACAATCTTTTGGGCCTCTCCTGTGACCCTCACCTGAACAGGACTGAGCGATTGCTCAACGATGGACCTACTTCACCCCTGGCCCCTCATTGGACCACCGGACCAATGGGGCCTGGGGTCTTCCACCTCCTTGGGACTCAGCTGCTTCTCCCTGAGTTCAAGTGGCCCCACAACTCCGCCCGGCCACTCTCAAGGCCCGGGGTCTTACACCCCCTTGGGCTCAGGTGCTTCTCTTTGAGCGTGCCTGGCCCACCTCCAGGGTCCAACACTCCATGGGATTCAGGCGCTTCTCCTAAGCTAACTCTTTGTAACCACCCGAAGGTGGGGGCAGGGGTATAGGTGCCTTGACCTGCCTTGCACCGGGTAGGTTCTCAGTTCTGGCATTTGGGTGGTCCTGCCCCGCCACAGGCAGGGCCATCAGGCCTCCCTATCCCGGCAGGGTGCAGTTTTAGGTCATGCCCAGGACCAATGAGGCCTCCTTCCCTATAGCCTTACCCTTACCTCCAAGATGTTCCTGGAGTGGGAGCTCTGCTGAGCAATGTTACTCCCCCAGCAAGTGAACACAAACTGCTCTGCTCTTATAATAGAGCTCTCCAAAAATGGCTGCTCTCATCAGCCACCTGGCAGCTCCCTGCTCCAGCCCTTAAATTGACAGACAACCAAAGGGGTGTTCTGTCACAGGTAATTATATTTATACTGATTTACATTTACCATTTACCTCCCAGCTCACTGCTGTCCACTCAAGGAAGCAGCTCTGGCAGGCAGCGTAGATGCAGGCTGCAGCATTGTGCGGCTGCTGCAGCAGGGAAGTAACTAGCATCTGCCTGGGGGGAGCAGAACCAGGCAGAGTTGTGTGGCAGAATGGCAGATTAATTGAGTCTGCTCCGCATGCGAGCTGATGCAAACTGCACCATGCTGCGTGCAATTGTATAAGCAGTGAAATGTGCATCAGTGCGCAGAAAATGGCGGCAGTGCACTTTTGAACTAAAGCACCTCTATTGTGTTTTAGTTCAAAAGTGCGCTGCTGCCGTTTTTTCAGTGCTGACATGCATTTAGTCACTTACATAACTGTATGTGCTGCAGCGCCAGGTGCTTTTCAACATGTCTGCTGCTGTAGCACATGCATGTGTACAAATGCCCTCTATGATTAGTGTCACCTATTTTAGCTGTAGGCCAGGAGTGTCAAGCATATAGCCTGTGGGGTGAATTCAGCTTGTGGAGCCATTGTGTTTGGCCCACTGGGCTGCTGGAGGGCTTCTGAAAGTTGGGGTGGGCTAGGTACTGCTACCTCCTGCAGAATTTGAGACCCTTGTCACCAGTGGACATGGCCATTGGCCACAGTGGGGCATGTGAGGGCACCCTGCAGCCACCAGATCCTCACTGCTACCATTTGGCTTCCATATCACTGACCCCTGAATCCCTGCCGCCACCCCCAAACCTGCTGCTCCCACATATCTGGGAGGAGCCCCAAGATTCAGATCCAGCCCAGGGTAAGCTTGGCAACCCTGCTCTAGGCATCTCCTTGCTCAGAGTGTGCGTTTTTTCGGATTGCTAGTCTGAGATGCCTATCTATCTCCATAAGTAGTACAGTGTCTTGTTTTCCTAACTCAGACTTCTGGATTTTATTCTGTGGCTCAGGTACATTAAAATTTGGTGTTGAAGTGTCTAATTTTTAAATGTTCAAGTCCTTCACTGGATCTAACCCACAGTTCTGCTCAAGAATCTTACACTAAGATACACGTAGAAACAAGCTGCAACAGGCTAAGTTAAGGGAATTGCATTTGGGTTCCCTGTATCCTTCTCAGTTATCCAGCCACTGAGCTATTCGATTCAGGGGATTCACCAACTGTGTTTTGTTACAGAACCTGGCCCAATGGGAGTATTCTGAGCATGTCTGTCACCTCAGGCTCTGCATTTGGTGTAGGTGGAGAAACACCTAGTTTGTGGATCCTTCTGGGACTTTGAAATCAGTTTTGCACATGCCCAGAATCAGACTTTTAGGAACATAAGAGAATGTTACTGGTAAAAATATAGGTGCTTAGGAAGCTGCTGATTTGAGGGGGGGGGGCAGGGCTAGGATCTACATTCTTGACTTCAATACCTACTGGGGCATGTAGCTGGGACAGGGGCATCTGAATCCTTTTGTGGATATAGCCCCAGGAGGTTTTTTGTTTTTAAAAACAGATCTTAAGAGATGAATTAACTTTCATATTCTGAATTAGGTACATAAAAGGATAGTGGAGGTCCATCCATATTGTGGTCAAGCATTGCCTGTATACTCCATGGCAAAACCTCCATCAGGGTCTCTGAAGCATTATATATACACAGGTTGTTTCATATACATTAAATATGAAAATGAAGAATATTGTCAATACAATAACCCTCCTTTATTTACTTTGATGCTAAATACAGTGCATTTTTTTCCACATTCAGTTTTAATGTGGAGCTACATTGTAGAAAATTAATGTTGGAAGCTTTAACAAGTTAGAATCAGCAATGTGTTTTTAAATGGTAGCTCTGTTTTAAAGCATTTTGAAATTGGAACTAGTGTTTTTATCCATAAATTTGCAGAGCAAACAAGGAGTTTTCTCATATTGGTTTCTCATTTGTAATTTTAACATAATTCCCTAAGATACTTTAACAGTGCTTTATGGCATCCTTTGCCTAAGGTGCCTAATCTTTGGCCATGTCTGTGTGGTAAATGTATCATGTTCAGAATTAGATTTCTCAAGGGTTGCTTTGGGCAGGCTACCTCTTAATTGAGAAGCAGAGTAACTCTGCCCACATTGAAGTATATGAAGGTTAGTTAGCACTGGGACAGGCTAATTGGCCTGTCACTCGAGAGTACTAGCTAGAACTTCCCCAATGTCATGAGGATGTGGCCACACTGCCTGATGGGACACCAGGTTGAGAATGCTGCTGTTAGATACAGTAAGCTTAGCATGTAGCCATGGCCTTTTATCCTCATCAGTTTCTTTAGGAAATTTGACTACAGGCAGTCCTCAACTTGCAACTTTGAGTTATGACAAACGACATTTACGACACTTGTAAACTGACACCCTGTTTCAAGGTTCCCATGCCAGTTTCGTCTTTATGATGGTCGACACAGCTGCCTCCAGCTGGTAAGTCTATTGTGGTGCGGGGAGGGCAGGGGCGTGTGGGTGCAGATCAGTGCCTCCCCACAGCGAAGGAGGGACCAGGGCTGGGGCAGCTTAAGCCGCTGTGTGCCACTGGTTCGGGAGCTGCTTGTGTGGTGGCTCAAGCGGTGGTTCTCACCGCTGCCCCCGCTGCTGTTGGGGAGGGCATGGGGTGGGGGCGTGTGCCCCAGGATCTGTGCGGGGGAGCGGAGTCAGTGGTGCGCCAGGTGGAAGGTGCTGGGAGCAGGGGCTATGCCCCCCTGCCGCTTGCCCAGCCAGTGTGGGACCAGTGTGAGACTGAGCCGCTGCACTGCCTCTGGACAAGCCTACAGAGCTGGTCTGGCCTCCCCATGCCTCCTGAATGAGCAGCAGCTTCGCCCTTGCTGGGCGAGCGGTGGCATGTGCTACCTGAAAACTCGCTGCAGCCCCTGTTAGCCTCCACTCCGCCAACCGCTCCACCTTGCCCCGATCCAGAGGCACACACCTCTGCCATGCCCTGCTGCTGGTTGCCCAGCTAGGGCAAAGCCCTTGCTCATCTGGGAGGTGCGAGGAGGCCGAGCCACCTCCCATCACTGCGTACCACTTCTCTGGAGGCAGCGGCTCAGTCTCACACTGGCCCCACACTGGCTGGGTGAGCAGCAGGGGGGCATAGGCTCCACTCCCAGTGCCTTCTGCCTGGAGTGCAGCCCAGCATAGCCCCAGCCTTGGCCTTCCCACGCAGATCCTGGGCCACATGCCCCCACCCCATGCCCTCCTGGACTGGTGGTGGGAGCAGCGGCAAGGGCTGCTGGACAAGCCACCACACGAGCAGCTCCCTGACCAGCGGTGAGCAGTGGCACCAGCTGCCCCAACCCTTCTCTGGGCAGCGCTTGCACCAGCCCTGGTCCCAGCCCCAATTCCTCCCACACTATGGGGGCACTGATCTGCCACCCCCACGCTCCTTTCCTCCCCTCTTACCCCTACCACAACAGATTTACCAGCTCTATGCAGCTGTCTCGACGGTGGTAAATGGGGGATTGGTTCCTTTATAATATTATTCCTATTGGAAAATTGGTTCCAACTTTTGATGTTTCAACTTAAGACGCAGTTTTCAGGAAACTATTGTGTTGTAAGTCTGAGGACTGCCTGTACTGTTAGTTAGAAACACGTAGTGCATTACACCCTTAAGCAGCATAAGATGTAATAAGTAGCTGGAAAAAATAGTTTGGTTCCAGTTCATTATTCTGCTTTGAGAAAAGTATATAATTGTCAAGAAAAAACATGCAAGTCATAGCCTTAAAACACCAAACAATGGTATCATTGGAATGTAATGGAACAAGCCATGTTCATCCAGCATGTTTAATGGCCATCTCGATACTGTCACACATCTCTTCCTACAGTGTCTATGTAATGGTTGGTGCAGATGTTCCATTCTCCTCATGCTTACGAGAAGTAGAAAACCCACAGAATCAGCTGAGATGCAGCCAAGAGATGGAACCTGTAATAACTTGTGATAAAAAATTTCGTACCCAGTTCCATATTGACTGGTGTAAAATCTCTTTGGTGAGTTACTTTATGATTAAATATTAAAAATGGTATGTATAAAGTTCATTATTTAAAGCCAGACCTAAAGGGGATAAGTGTTTTGCAAGTCTTCCTCCCCATACAGTTATGCCAGAGGCACTTCTTTTCTTGACTGATCAGATGTTACTCTCCCTCTAGCAGAAATGGAAGTATTTTGCTAAGTGTGGAGACACACAAACCTATTAGAATGTGGGTAACCGTGAAAGCACCAGATTCATTTTAATTTGTGATGACTTAAGTGAGATAAGGTCTGTGCAGCCAGGGAGCAAGTAAAGGAATGATAAAAGTAGGATTTGAACCCATGAATAAAAGTCTGCCTCATTAATTCACTGCATTAACACACACAGTTCTGTCGATTGCCCACAAAATAATTTTGTTGCCAGATGCTAACCTACTGAGTGTAGTAGTTTAATGGTATTACAGCATTGTTAAAATCTCCTTCTGAATATAATATAAAACATCTCTTTCACTAGATAAGGATACAGAAAAGGGAAATAAAATTATGTTGATTATGGAATAAAAGAAACAAAAAAGTTCCTCATGATTTTCAAATAAAGGAGAAACATTACAGAAAAACAGGGCAGTTCACCAAGGAAAAAATAATTCCCCAAAGGGCTGAATTTTTTTAAAAGGTTAGTTTTGTTCAAAGAAAACCAAAACAAGGAAAATAAGGACTATGAAGATATAATCTGCCAGATAACACTGAAAAAGATGATGAAATTACATTTGGCACAACTAGTATTTCAGTAGAGTCAGATGAGAGACCCTCAGAAACGTTGAAGAGTTAGCAAAGTAAACTAAAGCACCTGGTCATGCTAATGCATAGAGGTTTTTTTCTTACTTTTAAATAGATTTACAGTTCATCTTCATGTACACTTAAGGGAACTACTAATATGAATATTAATAATAATTGTTCCCATTTCATAGATGGGAAAATTGAAACAAAAATGTGAAGTCTTACCCAGTGTTGAAAAAGGATAACTCCTAATTTCCTTTTTCACATGCAGTCTGCCAGGAAGCCTCTCTCTTTTTCAGTAAATCAGAATTAATCAGGATTATTGTCTGAAAATAGGAAGAAAGAAGATCCAGAAAATATTTATGGTTTATTCTTGTGAATGTCACTGAAAAAATGAGCATAAAATACAAATGTAAGTTTTATTTTCACACACACCTAGAAAAGTGTCTTAAAAGGAGCCTGTGTTTCTCTGAAATTTATCAGAGAAAGTCTGGTGCCTTGATAAAATTTCAGGTTTGCCATTTTAACAGTTTATATAACTCAGTCATTTCCCTTCTGTTGCACAGAATTTTTTTTGGCTGCCTTCCACTGTAAAAGTACAAACATTTTAATGCTGAAGCCATACTTCTACCAGCCATCACCCTCCATCAGTACTGGCAGCACCCTGGAGCTGCCACAACTGCTCTAGCAGCAGTGGTTGGGTCACAGGAGGAAGTGGAGCCAGGCTGCTTTTCCTCTAAAGACCATATACTTCTCTGGACCCAGCAACTGGTCCATTTGTCCCTTTGGCCTCTGGCAGACATTATATTTGTTGTGCATTATATACAAGTATTATGTGACAAATCATAACATGCTAGATGTTAAACCATTTTATCTTTGGACAACAATAGTGATCAGCCACAGAGAAGTTACTCATTGAAAAAGCAACTTATTTGTAGCACAGACATATCCTTTGATAATTTTAACATGTGGCCAGTTGGCATGTAACAATTTGTTGTGCAACAAATGTAACATCTGCCAGGGGTTTTTTGAGAGCACCACGTGGGTCTGTAGTTCCTTCAAGTGTTTTTGTAGACTGGAAGGAAAGGAGAGAGAGTGTGCTAGGCTAGACTTCCTGTAGCACCACCATTGGACGATGGCCTAGGTGGCATGACTACCATGTTTGCTGCCTCCTCCATTTTGAAAGAAAGGCACCCACAGCAGTCCTAACTCCACATCAGTGTTCAAGTTTGTGAATTCCAGATAAAGGCAGGAACCTAAGCCCTCTCTTCAGCATTTTATATCTGCTGTCCTAGGTGATTGCCTATTCAACATGATTCTTGTTGATCCTATTATTAGGCATCTAACTGATTCCATGGAGTGCCTAGGCCAGTGATTCTCAACCTTTTTAGATTTGAGGCACCCCGCACCCTTCTGATAATGACAGCTCTTAGTGTTGACTCATTTTATGACTACAGAAAAATTAAGAGCAATTTTTCTGTAGCAGCAGTGGGTGGGACACAGGGGGAAGTGGAGTTAGGCTGTTTTCCTTCTAATGACCATGCGCTTCTCTGAAAACAAACTGGCCCATTTGTCCCTTTGGCCTCTGGCAGACACTACATTTGTTGTGCATTATACACAAGTATATTGCATAACAG